CAAGTTCTATGAACTTCGATCAATAAGCGAATCTAATGTCATATGCAACTTTTAAAATTTCCATGGATATGACATTTTAAAAATGAGAATAATATTAGTATCAATTGAGAATACGTAAAGTACAAAATGAGTATTGATATGAAATTCATAAGTTTTTTAGTTAAACTTGAAGACATTTTTATTGAGCATCAAACCTCCTTTATTGAGTATTAAAAACATGCAATTGAGTATCATGGTCTGTACTATTATATCTATAATCATCTCCTACATGAATCTAATTTAATTAATATGAAACTTTTGAAATATATATTGATATAACATTTCAAAATGAGCATAACACCGGTACAAAATGAGTATTCATTACTTATCAAATGAGCAATGATATGAAAATCATAAGATTTGTTAGTCGAGCATCAAGACATTTTCATTGAACATCAAATTTCCTCTATTCGATGACATTTTTGTAATTTAAGTGAAAAGTCACGGCTTCCGCTAAATGAGCAATGGTGTACTTTTAGTGAGAATCTGACATATTTTATTGAGTATTAGGAGGTTAAGAATGAGTATAAAGATCTCTGTTTCATATCTTCTAATTCTTTTTCTTTTTCTTATTTTCTCTTTTATAAAAACTTATTGAATTGTATCTATAAGCCAATCCTATTAATTTCAATATGTGAATCTAATGTAATATATTACTTTTTTTTTAAATAAGCATTAATATGACATTTTAAAAATGAGTGTAACATCAGTACCAAATTAGCATACATAACTTACGAAATGCACATTGATATGAAAATCGTAAGATTTGTTAGTTGAACATCATGATTCACGACATATTAATTGCACATCAAACCTCTGCTGTTGAGATGAAATTCATGGTTTCTAGTGAATGAGCATTGATGAACTTTTAATGAGCATCATACCAATTCCGTTGAGTATTAGGAGTCTAATATTGAGAATCCTGATCTCTGCTACATAAGTTCTAATTCACTTTCTTTTTGTTATTTTTCTTTTATAAAAACTTACTACCTCCGTCCCATTTTATGTGTCTCCTTTGGTTTTGGCATAATTTTTAATTAAGTGGTTGAAAAGGTAAAAGTTGTGGTTGAGATTTGAGTATAGTAAAGTGAAATGTTGTGAACCACATATTTCTTTTCAAAAAGGGAAAAATGACACTTATTTTGGGACAATCCAAAAAGGAAAGTAAGACAGGTAAAATGGGACGGAGGGAGTATTAAATTACACTTATAGTCAACTTCCATGAATTTCAATATGTGAATTGATGCAAAATAGTACTTTAAAAAAATGCATTGATATATATGACATTTAGAAAATGAGCAATAGTCCAATTTTAATGAGTATTGAGCGTCCAATAATGAGCACCATGTTATTACAAGAAAGCTGATATCACAACTATAAAACGGTGACATTGTCGTAATTAGGAGGTTAAGAATGAGTATAAAGATCTTTGTTTCATATCTTCTAATTCTTTTTCTTTTTCTTATTTTCTCTTTTATAAAAACTTATTGAATTGTATCTATAAGCCAATCCTATTAATTTCAATATGTGAATCTAATGTAATATATTACTTTTTTTTAAATAAGCATTAATATGACATTTTAAAAATGAGTGTAACATCAGTACCAAATTAGCATACATAACTTACGAAATGCACATTGATATGAAAATCGTAAGATTTGTTAGTTGAACATCATGATTCACGACATATTAATTGCACATCAAACCTCCGCTGTTGAGATGAAATTCATGGTTTCTAGTGAATGAGCATTGATGAACTTTTAATGAGCATCATACCAATTCCGTTGAGTATTAGGAGTCTAATATTGAGAATCCTGATCTCTGCTACATAAGTTCTAATTCACTTTCTTTTTGTTATTTTTCTTTTATAAAAACTTACTACCTCCGTCCCATTTTATGTGTCTCCTTTGGTTTTGGCATAATTTTTAATTAAGTGGTTGAAAAGGTAAAAGTTGTGGTTGAGATTTGAGTATAGTAAAGTGAAATGTTGTGAACCACATATTTCTTTTCAAAAAGGGGAAAATGACACTTATTTTGGGACAATCCAAAAAGGAAAGTAAGACAGGTAAAATGGGACGGAGGGAGTATTAAATTACACTTATAGTCAACTTCCATGAATTTCAATATGTGAATTGATGCAAAATAGTACTTTAAAAAAATGCATTGATATATATGACATTTAGAAAATGAGCAATAGTCCAATTTTAATGAGTATTGAGCGTCCAATAATGAGCACCATGTTATTACAAGAAAGCTGATATCACAACTAAAAAGCGGTGACATTGTCGTAATTTTAGTAAAAATCGGGGTTTTCATTAGATGAGCATTAATACACTTTTAATGAGTATGATATACATTCTTTTGAGTATTAGAAGCCTGACAATGAGCATCACGATCTTTGCTTAATACTCCCTATTTTTTTATTCACATTTTTTCTTTTATAAAACTTATTAAATTATATCTAGTCAACTTCGATGAACTTCCAATATGTGAATCTAATGTAAATTTGTACTTTTCAAATATGAATTGATATGACATTTTGAAAATGAGCATCACATGAGTACCAATTGAGCATATGTAATTTATAAAATGAGCATTGATATGAAAATCATAAGTTGTTTAGTTAAGCATCAACACATTTTCATTGTGTACCAAACCTCATATGTTGAGTATTAGAAACATGCAATATAGTATCATGGTCAGTGCTCTCGTATTTATAATCAACCCATATGTTAATCTAATGTAATATGGTGTTTTTGAAATATGTATTTATATAACATTTTAAAATGAGTATAACACCAACATCAAATGAGCATACATAAATTAACAAATGAGCAATGATACGAAAATCATAAGTTTTCTTAGTTGAATATAAAAACATTTTCATTAAGCATCAAATCTCCTAAATTGAGTATTTGAATCATGCAATTGAGTATTATCAATCAAATCGAAAGAGGTAGAATTGTTTTTATTCAAAATTTCATCTCAATTAATTCATTATAAATTCTCAAATTAAAGGTGCTAACACAATTAAAAGGAATGAAACCGAAAAAAATAAGTGGACGTCTAAAAAAGAGGTTAACACTGGAAAAGTTATATTCATTGCAATTGCCGACATCTGCAACTCCCTAGCAGGATCCACCTTTCAGTCGGTTACTCCATCTTCTTCCACGACATAAATTAATCAATTGTTTGATTCATTCTATTTTCGCCGCAATACCGTCTTAATTCCATGAAAATTATCCGAATTGGGTTGTTGACAGTTGATTTCTTGAGAGGAAGCATCAGAACGATTCGAAGATGAAGTGCCGGGATTGGGGTTGGGAAAAGCAGCTGCAAAACGAAGGATTAAATGCCATCTCAGTTGTGAGTAGTTGCAGAAATACCCGGTTGTACGGTGAGGATTAGTATGACAATCATAAGTTTTTTTTAGTTGAGCGAGCATCAAAACGTTTTCATTGAGCATCAAATCTTCTCTATTGAGTATTAAAAACATGCAATTGAATATAGCGATCTGTGCTCTCGTATCTGTAATTAAAACTCCTACTTCAATCTAATTTAATATGTTACTCTTGAAATATGGATTGATATAACATTTTAAAATGAGTATAACATCAGTACCAAATGAGCATACATAACTTACAAAAAGAGCATTGACATGGAAATCGCAAACTTTGTTAATTGAACATCAAAACATTTTCATTGAGCATCAAACTTTCTTTTATTGAATTACAAATATAATCGTGTTCTTTTTATAATTAATGTTTACTCATGCACATTTATTTTACACTATACTAATTTTTTTATAAAACAAAATTGAGTAATTAAAACACAATATATAATAAACTAATAAACATATATAATTAAAATAAAAAAAATAGAAAAATAAAAAATCAATACCTAAAACTTTTTATATTACAAAAATTAAAAAAAAACTAAGTTAGAAAGTTGATTGGGAAAAGAGAAAATCTGGGACATTAAGTAATATTTTATATTATAGATTTTCATGATAATTTAATTTGAAATTAAAACAAAAAATTGTTAAAAAAAAATAAAAAATTGAAAAGGAAGAACCAAAAGAAAACAAAAAGGTTGTTATGGAATAAAACAAAAGAAAACAAAGAACTGAAAACAAGGAGCAAGCAACGAACGAACTGAATGCTAAGCAAATTAAACCGCCGGATTACCAATGAAGTGGTATGTGGATTTCATTTCATTTTGGTCCATTATCCGAGCTTTTGTTATTGTCCAACTCACACTCTAGAAATGTGGCATTAATGTACGTAAATATTTAAATGATTGTTTTTGTGCGTGAAATATGTTGTTTCTTCTTTTTTATGCAGCCATATGACCACTCTGAAGTCTCGATATTTTGTCCTTTGTTATAGTTTAGGAAGCTCTCAAACTAACCTTGCTAAAGTAGAACTACTCTCAACTTTTATATATTCAGCTTAACTTGTTACTTAACCTTGTTAATATATAGTTTAGGATTACATCATTACATTGTAGCTTAGTTTCTGTTTTTACCTTATTAGGGAGTAGGGACAGTATCGTGGAAGAGCGTTTGACCAGAGGGAGAAATTTTCACAACAGTTTCAGCAAGTGCGACAACAGGGTCAGAGTAATATTCTTGGAAACCAAAAACAGTTTTATGCACAGAATCAGAATCCACTTTTCCCCTCAGGTACTGCATTTAGATTCCTTGTAGATGTGATTTTTCTTCAGCATTCAAAACTATGTTTGATTTCACTTTCACTTTATATACTTTTTGGTGGTGCAAGTTGTAAATTATTAATGGATATGGTCATTGTGACCTATCCAATGATAAATATGTTGTTGTTATGAGTGGTAGGGATCTCCAAGGTCTAGATTCTAGAATAACAGAGAGGTAGAACAAAAAGAATTTTGGATGCATATGGTAGAAATAGGTGCCCAACCTACCTAAGACACATACATTAATTCTTCACTCTTCAAAGGTAGTTTATTAATCTATATTAAAGAACCGCATATAGCTATTACAAGAATCATAAGAATTTAGGGAACATAAAGCTTAAGGTAAATAGGAAGTTGACTGAGACTAGATAGGATGTAACAATATCAACACCAATCGGAATATACTAGTAACTAATAAGAACAATAATGATATTAATACTAATAGTAATAATAACCGTATGACTCCTATTCTCCTAATAATAAGAAGACTTCTTCAGTCCTTTCGGCTTCCGTGTGGCCCTAACAGGAGACATGTCCACATTATTACTTACTTTTTGGAAATCAAGCTTGTCTGTCAACTTTGAAGTAAGTCACCCATAATGGCAACCTTTCCATGACCAAATGGCACCACTAGAAAATAAATAATCCACATGTGATGGCACTCTCAATTCGTTGGACTAAGAAGATTCTCATGTTGCAGATACTGGCAAGGCGAGCGTAGAACGACCCTGAAAAGCATCTAATTAGCTACAATGAGACCATTTTCCTTTAACCTTCTTTGGATTTGCTCACATGCGCCATATTTACTCATTGCTGTTTGTTTCACCACCTTTCGGTCTACAGTCTACTTGATCCATTTTAAGTTGACTAGTAAAGACAGGTTAAGAACATAAGATCAGTCTATAGCCATTACTGCCAGCTTCACCATCTTTTGGTGTACAGTCAACTTGATCCATTTTAAGTTGGCTAGTAAAGTGTTAAGATCAGCCTATAGGCCCCGTAGACTGCCTTCTTTAATGATCATGAACCCTTCAAACAATTTCAGAATTAAGATCAGCAAGTTTCCCTCCAGCAACAATGTTACATACTTACATTGTCGAGCATTATCCTGTTTGCGGTCATTTCATTTTGGACCTCATATGCAAAGTCTAAATCTCCCAACTTGCAATACCCATCAATGAGTGTGGTGTATGTGATCTTATCGGGCCTTACACCTTTTTTGTTCATTTGGGAGCTGAGTTTCTGGGGGCCAATTAGGTCCCCACTCTTCAAAAGCCCGTCAAGTAGCGTGTTACATGTGATCAGATTGGGCCAAATGTGGTTTCTCAGCATACGTTGATAGACATCCATGGCAAAGTCAACCTGCCCGTCTTTACAGTGGCCTTTAATCACTGTTGTGAAGATCACATGGTTGGGGAGTAAACCTCTCTCAGACATTTCATCAAGTAGTTCACCTGCAGCAGACATTTAATGAGGGTTGAGATTGATTAGGTCGACGATGTCCCTCCTCACACACTAAAAATATAAAACAATAAGGGAATAGTACAGCAAAATTCTCCAGCAACACTAAAAATATGAGAACATGTCCCTCCTCACCTCTTGTATTAATAGATTGTGTATAATTGTACAGATCTAACCAAACAGAAATTTTAAAGCAAGTTTATTACTCTCTGGCATTGAAGTATACACACAATGAGATGAAAATTACATTTAAATAAACACAATACACGGGGAAAGAAAAAAACAAGAGTCAAATGCAAGAATCTTGATGCGGTAGATATAACCTGAATATTATTTGTTAAAAAGAAGTCAATACCATAGGGGACATTTTCTTTAGGACTTGAGTGAGAAGGAAGGACCCACCACTATGTATTTGAGGCTCCTGTTGTGTAGCAACCTAAGCAAAGGTTTAAAAGTTGTTATTTGTTTTGACTATTTGAAGCATTTTTTAATCATGCCACACACATCTCTAATGAGCTCAATATCACAAAGACATAGAATTGTTATTTGATTAAGGAACTCTGGAACTACACATATAAAAACATGTTGTTTCTGTGTTATTTCAAGTTTCTCATCCTTATACTCCAAAAATACTCCGCAGATTCTATTTCTGCTTTCATCAAGCATAAAGTCAAATGTAAACTGTTGTTTTTGTATCGCTTTCCAATGAGTAATTTTACACAGATTATTAATATTCTGGGAAAACAAAAACAAACTATTTTAATATATCTATCATCCAAAAAGGAAAATGGTAACAAATGCAAACAGCCAACATTTTGACATTATTAATAGTTCATCTTAACTGAAAAATAACTCACCTTTGCACTATTCACTAATGAATCTGCGGTTTTAAAGCCATTTATCATCTGTAAAACTTATACAATATTCTTGAATATTTTTATGTTTAGGGCTAAAACGATTTGGAATCCTGTGTCTGCTAGATCACTACATCTCTGATCCATCTCCATTTCCATAAAAAATAAACCATTTTCTACTAAGTAATGACACAATTGTTTAGGATTGACTGTAAATTTCGTACTTCAAGATTAGATATATGTTAATACCTTCCATTTAGTACGAAATAAATATTGAGAGTACTAGTATCATTTACCATTATTAGCATGTGTATTGTTCTCCTTGTAAGAAGCATGTGTGCGTGGGTTACGTAATGTGCATGGTCCATGCACCAACCCTTCTCTATTATTCATGTCAATGCATTGTAATATATATATATCCATTGTAATCGAAGCTAAGAGGTAAGTGTGTGCGATGCATTATTTTGCTCCACATGAAATTTAGTACTCTAAATAAAAGGTTCTTATTTTACACCCCTTATATTCTTATTTTAACATGGTATCAGAGCCAAAACCTGAAAATCACTACACTATATGAGCATGACAGGGATATCGCTCCATACTCACACCTGGATAATTGATTCCGGAGCAAGTGAGTATATCACTTGTGATAGTGCGAATCTTTTGAATATTTTTATTCATCCATCTGAGGCAACCGTCAGAATTCCAAATGGCGAATCAGTTCCAGTTTCTGCTGTTGGTAGTTTGTATTTGCCTAATGGAGTATATCTTCGGCGTGTCCTTTATGTCCCACAATTCCAATGCAATTTGCTTTCTGCTAGCCGACTCACAAGCGACCTTAATTGCACACTCACATTTTTTTCAGACTTCTGTATATTACAGGATTTACCTACCAGAAAGATAATTGGTAAAGGTAGACTTCATGATGGTCTATACTATCTCGAATCACCTCGAAGTGAAGGGAGGGCAATGGCGATTGCTCTTGATTGCGAATTATGGCACCGGCGTCTAGGACACGCTTCAGGTGGAAAATTACAACATATCACGTTTCTCAAAGGTTTGCGAGAGAGCACTAGCTTTTGTGACCCTTGCTTGCGAGCTAAACAGACTCGCCTACCCTTTCCCAGGAGCACAAGTAAGAGTACTTGTTGTTTTGAATTAATACATTGTGATATATGGGGAAGTTATAGATGTGATTCAACTTCGGGAGCACGCTATTTCCTCTCCATTGTTGATGATTTCACTAGAGGTGTTTGGGTTTATCTGATGAAAAATAAATCCGAAGTTTGTCAAATATTGATACAGTTTTGCAATATGGTAAACACTCAATTTGGGAAACAAGTTAAGCGCATACGCTCAGATAACGGGGTGGAATTTCAAACCAACCTTTTATCTGAATATTATGCACGTTGTGGAATCATTTTGGAAACATCATGCACAGATACCCCTCAACAAAATGGGGTTGTGGAACGTAAACATAGACACATTTTGGAAGTTGCTAGGGCCCTCCGTTTCCAGTCTGGATTTCCCATTGTTTTTTGGGGAGAGTGCATTCTTACTGCTGTTTATATTATCAACCGGCTACCGTCACCAATTATTTCAAATAAATGCCCTTATGAAATGTTATTTGGGAAGGAACCCAATTATGAACATTTGTGCGTTTTTGGGTGTTTAGTATATGCACACAACAACAAACGCAAAGACAAATTTGGTGAAAGGGGGAGTCCGTGTATATTTCTTGGATACCCCTACGGTCAAAAGGCCTACAGGGTATTTGATTTACAAAAACAAAATATTTTCAGCTCTCGGGATGTGACTTTTATTGAGAATGAATTCCCATTTAAAATGATAAATCAAGAAGGGCTTGAATTTGAAGATATTGTTGACCGCGTATATGGGAAAATAGTGGGTCGTAGTGGCACATTTGCGCCTGAAGGGGACCGTCCGGAATATCCTCCTCCAGTGAACCCAGACCCGATTAATAGCTTGGATGCTATAAGCGGTCACCCACCTGCCGAGTACATGCACCGACCTGAAACGCATGGCAGCCCACAAGATTCCTGCACTCCTGTCCGTAGGGTACCGGGCCATCCTGAAGCTCACTTCCGTCCAAGGGACAGCTGCACTCCTATACGCAGTACTCACAGAAATGATGCAGTCACAGATGGAGGGACAACCTCATGCCATCCCTTGCCCACTGGACAGCAGACCACTACAGGGGCTAATACAGACAAGAATGGAGTGGACCTTCTTCTAAACTCTCCACAAGGTCCCAATCAATGCTTAGATGGATACGAGAAGCAACAAAATCTGGAACCCCAATTTGATTCCATTAATTTGACCGATCAAAATTCATCCACATCTTCCGCAGGAGAAATAAGAAGAGGCGGTAGAATTCGCCAACTCCCTAAGCACCTCACTGAATTTGATGTTGAACTACCGCCCTCTTTAGATCCTATGTGGCGGGAGGCCATGAAAAGGGAGATACATGCATTGGAAGAAAATGGCACTTGGACCTTAGTCCACCTACCACCGGGAAAGAAAGTTGTTGACTCTAAGTGGGTCTACAAAATCAAATACAAACCTAACGGCGACGTGGAGCGCTACAAGGCCCGATTGGTTGCCAAAGGCTTTACACAGGTCGAAGGAATTGATTTTCATGAAACATTTGCTCCCGTTGCAAAACTCGTCACTGTACGGTGTCTATTGGCCGTTGCGGCCAAATATAACTGGGAGGTGCACCAATTAGATGTGAACAATGCATTCCTCCACGGAGACCTTTCCGAATACGTTTACATGCGTGTACCCCAGGGATTTACTAAAGCTGGCGACACCCGAGTGTGCAAATTGCAAAAATCCCTGTATGGCCTACGCCAAGCATCTCGTAACTGGTATCACAAATTCACTGAGTCACTTCTCAACATTGGATTCCGCCAATCACGGGCAGATCACTCCTTGTTCATTTTTCAGCAAGGTCAAATCCACACTTTCGCTCTCATCTATGTAGATGATGTAATTCTGGCCGGAAATGATATGTCACATATCAATAGAATTAAAAGGTACTTGGATGACCAGTTTAGTATCAAAGATTTGGGTACACTGAAATATTTCCTCGGCATCGAAGTCACACGTTCTCCCGAGGGATTTGTGCTAAGTCAACGCAAATACACGCTTGATATACTAGAAGAAAGCGGCTTTCTTGGTGGCCGTCCTAGTTTATTTCCCATGGAACAAAATTTGAAACTTCGACCTGACGATGATAGACCACCGGTGGACGCTTCCTCATATCGTCGCTTGGTGGGGCGTCTATTGTATCTCACAGTCACTCGTCTCGACATCGTCTTCTCTGTCAGTCAGCTTAGTCAATTTCTCAGCAAGCCGCGCCAGTCTCATTATGACGCTGCCGTGCGTGTTCTTCGATACTTGAAACAGACCCCGGGGCAGGGTATTTTCTTATCGGCGGACACTGATTTCTCTTTAAAAGGTTATTGTGATGCGGATTGGGCAGGGTGCTCTTACACCCGTCGCTCTAGCACTGGATATTTTATTACTCTTGGTAGTTCGCCAATCTCTTGGAGAACAAAGAAACAATCAGTTGTTTCAAGATCTTCCGCCGAAGCCGAGTACTGCGCCATGGCCGTTACAGTTAGTGAAATTTTGTGGCTAAGATGGTTACTCCGTGACCTCACAGTTTCTCAGACCAGTCCTACACCTCTATTTTGCGATAATCAAGCGGCACGCCATATTGCTCTCAATCCCGTTTTTCATGAACGTACCAAACATGTTGAAATGGACTGTTATTTTGTTCGAGAACGTGTTGCTAGCAGAGAAATCCAACCATGTTGTATTTCAACAACACATCAGATTGCTGACATTTTCACTAAGGCGCTTGGCATTGATCGTTTCCAATTTCTCAGAAGCAAGTTGGGTGTTCGCAACCTGCACACTCCAGCTTGAGGGGGAGTATTGAGAGTACTAGTATCATTTACCATTATTAGCATGTGTATTGTTCTCCTTGTAAGAAGCATGTGTGCGTGGGTTACGTAATGTGCATGGTCCATGCACCAACCCTTCTCTATTATTCATGTCAAGGCATTGTAATATATATATATATATATCCGTTACGTTGTAATCGAAGCTAAGAGGTAAGTGTGTGCGATGCATTATTTTGCTCCACATGAAATTTAGTACTCTAAATAAAAGGTTCTTATTTTACACCCCTTATATTCTTATTTTAACAATAAATAATAATTCAGTACTTGTTTCACTCAATTTGAAAAGGAAGGTGTTATATAATACCTTTCCGGACCCCAGAATGAATAAGATGAATGTGATTCTGTGAAGGTTTCCGAGCTTTTGAACTCCGATGAGGGAAAGATATGAGAAATGGATATGGATCTACAATTGAAAGTTTCCGAGAAGAAATCCAAACATGGTATATACTCCGTATGTTTCTGAGAGAATCAGGCCGTCTAAAAAATGGGGTTTTTTTTTACACCAAAAAATGAGTTGAGAAAGAAATAATACCTTTCTGGTTCTCCAAATATACCACACCGACGCATTCGTTGTCTCAAAATAATAT